GAGAACGAATGACACTGGAGAAGGGTATTGTACATAGTGAGGCTGTGAGGAGATTTCTCCATCAATGTAACTTTGAGAGCACTTGTGTTAGAATTTACCAATTATATATTTTAAAATGCAGTAATAAATAATGTATTTTTGATACCTTATAGTATAGCTGAGCCCAATGTGTTCTGGGAAATGGCCATTCCTTGAAAAGCCTTTAGACACCTAGAAGTATTCTTGTGACAACAAAAAGGCCTCATAAAACAGTGCCTTCCTGAGAAGGGACAAATTTTTCATTTTAGTAAGACAAGCAGACTGAATGATGAGGAATGTTTCTGTTTTGGGTCCTATCCCAGTGAAGGAAGCATGAAAAGAAATAGAAATTTTAAATAACTTCCAGTCTTCTCTGTTGCTTCATTCCCTTTCGAGGTGATTAAGGAGATGTCTTTTTTGTGGCCTTCAGCGCCTCATGTCGCTGATCTTTGCAAAAGCTGTCCCAGCTTGGCCTGAGGTTGAAGAGCGCTTGCATTTGGTCTTGATGGTTTCCTTTGCAATGATCTTTTGGTGCTGCTTGTTGTTTAGCATATTACAGTACAATCTCTCTAGTCTCTGGTCATTGGAGATTAACCTCTACAGGAAAAGAGAGGGAGGGGAAACAGCGGAGAATTTGCACATTGTCACAGATTTCCTGCCCAGTCAACTCCTCTTTCCCCAGGATCTGAGAACCATAGATTTATGAGGGAAGGGAATGAAGTTTTGCCCAGCATCCTCAGCAGTTAGTAAGAATATAACTCCCAGAATTCCACAGAAAGAGATCCTGAGTGCTAAACAGGTGTAAAACTAAGATATATTACTAGTAGCTGAAATAATTGCAAGGTTGACATCACGGGAGACAGAGACCAAAGAACATCTCCCACAACCCATGGGGAATGGACAATTGCCAACATCTTCTTGCTTAACATAGTAAAATGCAATGGCTCATTTGGTAAATCAACTCCTCTGTCAATTCCATTGATTCCTATGGGCCTATATTCGTTGTGACGTCCTATGATAAAGTAAGCTGCAATTAGAAGAGATCCATTGGGAACAGAGAGAGCAGTAGAATCACAAAATCCCCAGGTCTACTCCAGCATGATTTACTAGGCTAAGCAACAGGATCATGGCTAATAGCTGAGAAAATGGGATTGGGCTCACTGCAGTTTCCTCAGGAAACATCAGAAGAGGCCTGAGGGTCTTGAAGAGAATGGTAGGTATCTGTAATAAGAGAAATAAAGGCAGGAAGTGTGAAATTATTGTCCTCCTTATGTTTTCTGTCACACAATGTCCAGATGTGGCAAAGTCATGAAGCGTAAAGAAGACAGCATTGAAAAGCAGAGCTATACAGAATGTCTGTATCAGGGCAAGATTACAAAGGGAACAGTGGGCCAGAAAAACAGAAAAATGAAACTACACAGCAGGGAGTAAATAATTTATCATTACTTTTGAACTTTCAAAATTTAGAGTTCCTTTTTTCCTGCCGAAATTATGCCCTGTGCTGAGAAGGAGTGAAGAGAAAGGAGAAAAGGCAAGGAGGACGAAAGAAAAAAAGGGGGGGGGGCCTTCAGATTTAAGAGTGACTTTTCCGCAGCCACCCTGCCCTGCCCTCCAAAATGTCGCCAGCAGGGCAACTTAAATGTAGGTGCTGTGACTTAGACAAGGAGAAAGCAGGGGCTCTCCCGCCGACTTCCACCTCGATCCAGAAGGCGGATCCAAGCCCACCCAAATCATGCATGCGTAAGCAGTAGGCAAAAGGCTCCCTGTCCCCAACTCTCCAGACCAGGGCTCCACTCTAGGGAGACCTGGGTGCACGGCCCTCCCCATCGCGACCCCACTGCCCTTCTTCCTTTTTGCCCTACCGCTCTCCAGGGCTGACTTCAGCCTCTGCGCCTCTTGCTTGCAGCCGATGGCTTCCAGGACCTCGACTGTCACCCGAGGGGCATAGCCCTCCGTGTAGAAGTCCAGCAGGAGGTCGACCATGTGCAAAATGCTGGCATTCTCCAGACGCCCCCAGGGAATGTTCTCGTAGCCCTGGCGGAGGGGGATCTTGTTCAGCTTCCACCGGAAGCGCTCCAGGTCTTCCTTGGACAAGTTATCCAGGGCTAACTGCAGGCGATCGTGGACGGGCACCGACATGGCCCCGCTGCTGCGCTGCGAGCTGCATGTAGTACACTGGATCAAATTTTCCCGTTTTTTCTCTAATGAAAGAAATGAATGGGCCAAAAAAAGAGAGAGATTTAGTTTGGCGTGCAAAACAATTGCGCTTCCCAAAAATCTGGAAGGGATTACGTCACCCAAAAATAAGAGGAGGGATTCATCATGTCTTTCTGAGGTAGGGTTGGTAGACTGTGTACCCTTGCATGAGCAGCTGGGAGCACCTAGCACTGAAAGAAAAGAACAGGGCAATCCAAAGCAAAACAACAGGAGGTGCCCCTACTGGAACAAGGGTTCTGGACTACTTGGGCCTTCCGTCTGATCTTAAATTCTTAATTACTCCCATTGCTGCCACAATGGATTTGCAGTTACCTTGCAACTTGCAGCTTCACTTAACCTGTAGGAAAAATTGCAAACAGGTGTAGAGGTTGGCCCAGTTCAGGAGCAATGCCGTGCCCAACTCTGAAATCTGGCAGTAAGGCAGTGGAGGAAGGGAATGAAGAGAAGATAGAGAGGCAGCCTGCAGTTTGCCAAACCATCTACAGGCCATAAGTGTAAGTTTCCAATTCCAACTCATCCCCAAAGCATGCAGAGTGATGTTGGGCAGTCATCATTTCTCAGCCTAACCTATCTCAACAGTGATGTTGTGAAGGGGAAAATGGAAGCTGATCCTATAGGTTGCCCTGAGTTCATTTTGATTAGGCATCCTTCAGTCTATGGTAACGTGCTCTGTATGGAGGACTTGGAACAGCATCTAGTGTGGCTGAGAAGGCCAATTCGAGAGTGATCCCTTCCACACTGAAGACAAAAGCAATCTGTCCCATCCCACTCCCTGATTTTGCCAGTTTCGGGACTACCTCTTTGCCTGGGCCTGCTGAACAAGTATCTCTTCAAATAGGGAGAGGCTGTGATGCACCGCCTGCCTCCAGGCTGAATGCTCAGATGTCATGTTTTCCCATCTGTTGAGGTCCATTCCAAAGGCCTTCAGATCCTGCTTGCAGATATCCTTGTATCACAGCTGTGGTCTCCCTCTGGGGCGCTTTCCCTGCACTTCTCCATACGGGAGATCTTTTGAATCCGACCACCAGCCATTCTCATTACGTGCCCAAGCCAATGTGGACATCACTGTTTCAGTAATGCATACATGCTAAAAATTCCAGCTCATTCCAGGACTACTCTATTTGGAACTTTGTCCTGCCAGGTGGTGCCAAAAATGCATCGGAGACAATGCACATGGATCATGTTCAACTTCCTCTCCTGCTGTGCACAAAGGATCCAGGACTCACTACAGTACAGAGGTTTACTCAGGACACAAGCTCTACAGTGGACCCTCAACTTACAGACGGTTCGACTTACAGACTTTTCCAGTTACAGACTTCTCTGGCCGCAAAATTTAGATTCGACTTGCAGCCAGAGAATCGACTTACAGACCAGAAAAAAACCAAAATGAAACAAAAAATAGAATAAAAACCGCTGGTTATGGGATTAATCGGTTTTCAATGCATTGTAGGTCAATGGAGACTCGACCTACAGACTTTTAGACTTGCAGCCACCATTCCAATACAGATTAATTCCGTAAGTAGAGGGTCCACTGTATATACCTGGATCTTGGTATGTGCCGTCAGCTTCTTGTTAAGCCATAATCTCTTTGTGAGTCTAGAGAACATGGTAGCTGCTTTGCTGTTGCATTTATCCAGTTTGACATCTAGAGAGAGTGTGTCAGAGATTGTTGAGCCAAAGTACATGAAATAATGAACAACCTCCAATTTGTGTGTGGAGATGGTAATAGAGGGAGGTGAGTCCAGCCCTGACCCATGACTTGTGTTTTCTTCAGGCTGACTGTTAATCCAAAATCTTGGCAGGCCTTGAGACAATGCATATGGATCATGTTCAGCTTCCTCTCCTGCTGTGCACAAAGGGTCCAGGACTCACTAGAGTACAGAAGTTTACTCAGGACACAAGCTCTATAGACCTGGATGTTGGTATGTGCCGTCAGCTTCTTGTTAAGCCATACTCTCTTTGTGAGTCTAGAGAACATGGTAGCTGCTTTGTTGTAGCATTTATCTAGTTTGACATCTAGAGAGAGTGTGTCAGAGATCGTTGAGCCAAAGTACATGAAATAATGAACAACCTCCAATTTTTGTGTGGAGATGGTAATAGAGGGAGGTGAGTCCAGGCCTTGACCCATGACTTACGTTTTCTTCAGGCTGACTATTAATCCAATATCTTGGCAGGCCTTGCTAAAACGATTCATAAGTTGTTGAAGGTCGTTGGCAGAATGGGCAACAACGGCTGCATCATCGATGAAAAGAAAGACCTGCATGCATTTCAGTTGGACTTTGGTCTTTGCTCTCAATCTAGAGTGATTAAAGAGCTTTCCATCTGATCCACTCCGGAGATAGACGGGATGCTTCAGCGTGACAGCAAAAAAGATCCCAAACAGGGTCAGTGCAAGGACACAGCCCTGTTTCACTCCAGTTCGAATGTCAAAGGGATCTGATGTTGAGCCATCAAAAACTACAGTGCCTTTCATTTCCTCATGGAAAGATCTGATGATGTTAAGGAGTCGAGGTGGACTTCCAATCTTGGGAAGTATTTTAAAAAGACCATACCTGCTAACCAAATAAAAGGCATTTGTAAGATCAATGAAGCCCACAAAGAGTAGCTTTCGTTGTTCCCTACATTTCTCCTGCAACTGTCTGAAGGAGAATACCACATCAATGGCGGATCTATTAGCTCAAAATCCACACTGTGATTCTGGATAGACTCTGTCTGCAAGCACCTGGAGCCTCTTCAGCACAACACGGGCAAGCAACCTCCTTACAACACTGAGAAGAGAGGTGCCACAGTAGTCATTGCAATCACCCCTGTCTCCTTTGTTCGTATACATTGTGATAATGTTTGCATCCTTCATGTCCTGTGGTACTCCACCTTCCCTAGCACTTAGCATCCAAGAGGCTTCTGTCTTTGGCAAAAGCCTAAGGATGAGACTGGCTCTCATAGATTCCTGCTCACCTTGTACTGAGCCCAACGTCAGTTCTTCTGAAAGAGAAGAGGAAAGAGGAAGTTAGAGAGAGAATGTGGCTCGGATGTCCTTTTCAACTCTGCCTCCCGAGCTTTATTCCAATCCTCATGGATTCCTCCCCTGATCCAAGCTCACCTCTTCTCACGCAGGACGTCCAGATGGATGCATCCTTGTTCTTCTCAATGAGGTTCAGCTCCAGCTCATCTTCCATGTTTCGAGCACACAGTTCCAGGTACTGCTGCTCCATGTCCACATCCAGGTATCTTAATATCAGTTCCTGTGTGAATGAGCGAAAATTCTGTATGT